TTCTTTTCTTTTTTCTTCGATGGATACTATTAGTCTTTCACTTTGGGTAATATGTTGTATTTCTTTGAGATCTTGAACCAATGTATTGGTATAACTAAATGTAATGATATGACTGAATTCTTTTGATTTACCAACCTAGAGCTAGTCAAGCTTTGTAATTTTTATGTTATTGTTTAATCTTTGTTCTTAATTTATTACACAGTTTTCAAATACTGCTTTTAGTCTTTCTTAAAAGTCAATTTAGTCATCTATACTTCTTTTGTGAGAAAAAGAGCAATGCTCCCTTCATATCACTTATTTTTTCCTGCACTTCCCATTTTACATATTTATCCTTTATTTATTAAATTCAAATAAAAATTAACGATGAGTTAATGATTTCGTAACCATCAACAACTTTCCTAACCACCAATAAGTCTAAACGTTCATTGATTGTATAAATCCTAAATCTCATCTATTGCCCTACATGCATCCTCTTTTCTCTTCTTATTTTTTGACTTTCATTCTTCACTTCTTCACTTGTATTATTAAATTGTTTTCTAAGTTCAAAGTTGTAAGGTTATACACTAGTGGTTATGCCCATGCTGGTGGTGTTGTGGACAATACAGGAGGAAGAAGGTAGTGTTGGTGGTGTTGTGGACAGTGAAGGAGGAAGAAAGAAGCGAGAGTTCACGATGTTAGTATATTATCTGAAGTAAACACCTTAACCGCCGTTAGAGATGCGATTAAGGGTGGCAAAGTTCGAACGCCGGTTGCAAAGCGTCGAAATTCAAATTTCGGTTCACCCTAACTGCACTTTGAACAGTAGGGTATCGCACTTCCAAGTGCAGTTTCACTGTGCATACTTTTTTTGTTTTTAACCCAGGCTGCTTATGATCATTTGATGTTTATTTGCATTGCATTCTGAATCATATCTCCTTTTTGTTGTTCATTTATTGTGATATTATGGCTTATGCTTGCTTATGATTATTTGATGTTTATTTGCACATTGCATTCTTAATCATGTCTATTTTTGTTGTTCGTTTATTGTCATATTATGGCTTATAGTATGTTTGAGTATGTTTGGCATCTAATTTGATTTACATCATGCGAATGCTAGATTCACAATAAGTTGAGAGTAATAAGTTTCAAAAGAAACCCAAGCGTAACTATTCTCTTACCATATTTTTATCTGCTTTATATCCAAGACTCCTTTACTTAATGTCTATTAATTTTGAGTGTTGTCATACCTATTCATATGGCTTTAATCTTTAGATGACATGCTATAGTCATGTTAGATTAGATATTACAAATACATTTTCACAGGATTACTCATCTTGATTATATTTGTTACTCGTAAATTTGAAGCAATTAAGCAAGAGAGTGTTCAACTATTTTTCTTGAAGTAGTATTAGAAACAAAAATTCATTTACTTGTTAGAATTTTAATATATTAAAGTTATTTTAAACTATATTAATATTAAACTATATGTTAACTCGTATAATTTGATTTTGTTATACGTGTTAGTGAATTATTAGTATTTTATTATTTAGTATTTTATTTATAAAATTTTATGTTATATTGTATTGTATTTATTTTTGATGTATTAGTTAATAATTTAAGTGTTTTTTTACGTAATAGTTAATATTTTGTTATGAAATTTTTTTATTTGTTATTAATTTTTCAATGTTTTATACGTATTAATGATTTGAATGATGTGAAGTTATATTTATTTTAGAATAAGTTTAATTTTTTTATTTAGTATTTAGTTTAGAATATTTTTTGTTATTTTTTATTTATTGTATACATTTTTTTATGTGTTAATTTTTTAAATTTTGATTGAATTTATAAGATGTTTATATTTGGTGATTTTCATTTAAATTTTAAAAGTTTTCCTTAATTTTGTAATTGTTATTTGTTAAATTTTAATATTGTTATGTTTATTATAGGTCCTATTTAATTATATAAGATGGATAACTATTCATTTCTTGATTCTCAAATAAATTTTGATTTTATGTCAGAATATTCTTCTTTTCTAAATGAAGTCAGTGAGGGTGATTACACAGATAAATTTTTCACTGATCAAATCTTCCCATCACGCACCGATTTAATTGAATAGGTTCGAAAGATTGCATTCGACCTTGGATTTGTTGTCGTGATTATAAGATATGACACAACAACTGATGAAGCTGGAAGAAAGACATTCATTGTGTTAGGCTGTGAAAGGAGTGGGAAGTATAGGAAGTATAATCCAGATGTTCAACCTAGTGTATCTGGCACAAGAAAATGTGAGTGTCTATTTAGGTTGAGGGGTAAACCTAAAGGACAAGATTGGGTGTTAAAGGTTATGTGCGGCTATCACAACCATGAATTAGCATATACTTTGGTTGGTCATCCTTTCGCGGGGAGGTTAAATGTTGTTGAACAGCCAATTCTTGTTGACATTACTAAGAGTCAAGTTAAGCCCTCAAATATTTAACTCTTAAAGAACATAATGAAGATAAGGTGACGACGATAAAGCAAATATATAATGCGAGATATACTTACAAACGATCTTTGAGAGGGTCGAGAATTGAAATGCAACAGTTGATGATGTTGTTAGATAGAGACAAATACATCCAGAGAAGTAGATGTTTAAGACACATCCTAATTCGGACTGAAATGCAGCAGTTGACGATTCGAACGTAGTAAGTGACCTGTTTTAGACACATCTCGATTCAGTGCACTTGGTAAATTCATTTGATATTGTCTTCTTAATGGATACGACGTACAAGACGAACAAATATCATATTCCGTTGCTTGAGATGATAGGAGTCACACCCACTGGGTTGTTGCATTTCTTTCAAGTAAATGCCAAAATAATTTTACTTGGGCATTGGAAAGGTTCAAAGAACTATTATTGACATGAGAGGGCGGTCCACGCGTTGTTGTCACTGACAGAGACCTTGTTTTGATAAATGCCACTAGCAATGTCTTTCCTGAGACATATCAGATGCTTTGTACATTCCAAATTATGAAGAATGTGAAAGAAAAATGCAAGATGTTAATGGATAATGTTGAGGCATGGGATGTGTTGATGGAAGTGTGGCAAAATGTGATGGACTATGACGACCCGTCGATGTTTGATGCTTATGTTCATCGTTTTAAGTATGCCTATGCATCATGGCCTCTATTTTTTTATTATGTGAACCGTACTTGGATCATTTTGTACAAGGCATACTTCGTCAAGGCGTAGACAAACAAAGTGATGCATCTAGGGAACACTACAACAAACAGGTAATTGTTATTGTAAATTTGTTTACTTATGTATTTCATATTTGTTGTGATAGTATTAATGTGTTTTGTGGCAAGGTTGAGTTTGCGTACTAGAACCTAAAGAGATTATTGGGGTCTAGTATGAGAGATTTATGCTTGTGTTGGGATGCTATGCATAACGTCATTGTCCTACAACATAATAAGATAAGAGCGTCCTTTGAAAAAAGTCTTAACGTAATGAGTGATGCTTATAAAGGATTAAGATATAGAAGACTTGTTGGACGTGTTTCACAATACGCTCTAGGACTTATTGCCGATGAAGTTGAGCGAGTGAATCAAATAGGTTTGGACAGTGCTCGTTGTGGATGCATTTTGAGGTAATGGTACTAGAATATTTCCTCTTAGTGAAATACATGTTATGTGGACCCATTTAAGCATTTCAAGTAATGTGTCTATTGAATTGCTTCCAGAGTTTAGCTTATATCTTGAAGTTCAACTGGTATAAGAACGATTCAAGAACATTGACATTGGTGAACAAGTCAACATCAAGCAGAAGATGCTAGAAATTGTTTGCCTAGAGATGACATTTATGGTTGCTCCTTCGCATAAAGTGATAACAAAAGGCGCACAAAAGACTAAAGTTGCACGTCATGAGAGGTCTATGAAACGTGACCCATCATATTTTGAGCACGTTGGCAGTTTTCATTCCAGGACAAAGCCTTCATAACGAAAATCACAAGTGAAATCGAAGCCGAAAGAAGTTGCACGAAGGTCAGTACCGATGTTAAATCAATTTCATCCGATCTGTCATCCATACATTGTCGATGTTGTGGATGTTGTTGCCAATGGTGAAAAGGCATGGCCTGTTATACGACATGACCTTTATCAAGAACTAACTTAGATGCGTGATGAATACGCAAAATTAGTAGGAAGCTACGATCAATTGAAAGAACTACGACATTCATTGGTTGTCCACGATCGATCACAGGTATTTGTTATTTACCTCATAAACATTACTTATTTGTTATTTTGTATTTCTTTTCATAAATACTTACCTTCAAGCAATACAGGTTAATGCTAAGAAGTGGATGACCATACCGGACATTGGCTATGCCATTGCAAATAGATACAATGTCATCTTAGTATGTTTGTCCTATGTTTAGAGTTTTACCATATTCCCACTGTGCACTTCACCACCTACTGATATCAGACAACATCAGATCTTATGCATTTGATTTGTTAATGAATGTCATTTCGTACAGGTAAACTTCCATTTCTATTATACCATAACCATTAACCATTATGATTCATTTACTAATATTAAGTTTCCAGGTCCAATTACAAGATGGTTGTCTGTTACCCATGTGGACATCATTTCCTCAAACCATTGTTACCCAAAGGCACAATCATGATCCTCATTTTATACACATAGGATGCAATCATTTATGGAGTTAATGGGAGTTAATAGAACTTATGTAGATCTTGGAGAAGACTAAAATTAAGTTTGTTTTGTAGTAATTTATTTTTTCAATTGTAAATATCTTTTGTACTAATTCATGGTTTTGAATTGATTGTCGTATTAATTGTCCGTTATTTCAATTGTCTCGTTATATCATTTGATTGAACGAAGATGAATCATATTAACGCGTTCAATAAATTATAATTAGTCACATTATGCAAATCATACATAATTATGCATTATTAATACTCAAAGTATAATTAAACGTTACATAAATAAGCATTAAAAAACATATATAACAATCTCCTTTCAAGAAAATGATGCTCTTCCACGAACATGACGAGCACCTCTACTAGTACTAGCCTCATACTCCTCAACGGATCTACGAGCAACCTGAAGTGCCTCAATAGTACGCTGATAAGCTACAGTGCCCTTTGTGACGTCTCGATAGGTTAACATGCTCTGCAACATCCTGATCACACGCCTCATACCACCCTAAAATGAATATAACAAAATAAATAAATTAACTATGTAAACAAAAATTGATATAATAAACAATCAAATTAGTTTCATTACATACCAACAATCCAGATTCAGGCGATCGTCTACGAAGAACTAAGGGCATCAGGATGTCATCTGGTAGGTGTCGCCTCATGCGCGGGGCAAGATTGGGACGGTCATCGTCGTCAGCTGGAGTGATGTACGAGTGGGACACCCGTCTAAACCACATTAGGTATTCATCAACACACGCAGAGGGCTCATCAGCTTCAGTGACACCAGTAATGGCATGCTCAACATACCTCAGCCAATTTAGATCAATCGTAGGAATGTTTGGCATCAGAAGGCTCTCAGGCGAACGTGGTATGATCTGCTGAAAACCGAACTGACGCAACACACGTTCAGGCAAATGTCGGTGAATCATGTCGCATAGTCGGATCCATCCTGAAAACATACATATGTTCATGAATGGACAAGTACGTCTGTGCGAAATGTATGGATGCCAAATGACATCATCGTAAGTGAGCCAATCCAGATATGTCCGCCCCTCCATCAAACTCCAACCTTGCCTTGGAGGTATATATCGTGAAGCACGTGGATCGAGATCTGTGTACCTATCCGATACTCGCCTCCTTCCCATGTCAGGAAGGTGCTCATATATCCAACTCTAAAAAAACATTACTTAAATTATTTTATACATTCGTAAAATATATTAAAACAATTTTGTAAAACTAAAATGTACCTGTAGAAGAGTGGAATATCCAGCTATCTGCTTGACACCAGTGAAGCTAGCATCTCCTAGCTGCTCATAAGTATATGCCAGTGCAGATGCTCCCCAGGCATATGTCGCACAAGCATTCAAGTCTCGCAACAGAAGGAGGTACGAGACTCAAATAAATGTCCCACTCTTATTCGTAAAAATTGTGCATCCAAGTAGATGCAACAAGTAGGCCCGAGCAGCGCACTCCCAAAGCTCCTGCTCAATGCACTCTTGGTAGACCTCGCGGAGCCAGCTCAGCCTAACTTTTGGACCGCGTGACTGTTTCATCTCGGCTGAAGCTTTGGCACGATCGACACCAAGCAAGTCCATAAGATGAGATCGAGCCTCATCATACTCTAACTCCTCCACGTCACAAAATTGCCCCATGATAGGTAGGTGAAGCAGATTGTGAACGTCATCTAATGTGACACTCATCTCTCCTACACGGAGGTGGAAAGTATTTGTCTCTGGGTGCCACCTCTTCGCAAGGGAAACGATCAATCCATGATCGACATACTCGTACGATAGGTTGACTAAGGAAGCCAAACCCGATATGGAGATATAACGCTCAATAGCCTCATGGTACATTCCAAAATGTCTTAATTTTTTACCATGGGAAATCACTTTGATCTTCCCTCGATCCTACATAAAAACACAAATTTATATAACAAAAATAAATAAACAATTAATGAACAATTAACATTTAGGTTGATGACTAACCCGGCCTTGCCACATGGCAAATGCAACATGCTGGGTATAATGTGTGAGCAAGGAGGTGTCACGTGGACCTCCTAGAAATCCATCATCTTCATCTTCTTCTTCTTCCTCACTATAGTCATCCTCCTGCGGTTCAACATCCTTCTGCTCAACATAGTCGTCCTCACCATATCTCTGCTGTATAATTTCGTTATGCTCCTCAGACCCATCCTCATGAATAACATCCACACGTTTTGGTCGTCTCCTTTTATCGTGAGATGAAGATGAAGGCTCACCACGAGAAGATGAAGCATCACCGCGAGAAGATGATCCACCTCTAGTTCTAACCATTTCTATAACCAATTATATTATAACAAATGGTATAAAAAAATAATAATTACATAATAATAAATATTGAAACAAATAATAAATAATCATAAAATAAAAAATTAATAATAAAATAATGAAGANATATATATATATATATATATATATATATATATTTTGTCCTTTCATATTATTAAAATAGGGTTAAATATGTTTTTTGTCCCTTAAGTATTACACAATTTTGGTTTTAGTCCCTCGAAACTTTGATGGTTTTTAATCCTCGTATTTTTGAAACTATTAGTATTAGTCCTTAAAAATGGACGACGTTAAGTTTTAGTAGATGTGACAAACGGCGATGCCCAGCTGCGCTCTGCACTCTCTGCCACGTTGCTAGCCAATAAGAATCTGACACTCACGTGGCCATTCTCGTTCTTCCTCCCTCACCTGACGACGGCGAAGATCTAGGTTTTCACTACACTGCTCCCCCGCCTCTATCTCTCTCCAGGAACTCTTCTGAGTCCACTACAACTCTCAGATCGTCAGACCCCGTCCCGTTATTGCTCTCGTTCAAAGGTCCCTTTTGACCTTTCTTTCGCCCTTTTCTTCCCTTCTTCCTGTGCATCCCAGTTCACACCTGCGAAGCCCGAATATCGCAAGCGAACCGTAAAGCCCGAATCTCTGACGGCGGCAGCCAATCCCGAACGGCACAAGGCAAGTGCGCGGCAGGTGCCATGTGGAAAGCGCACTGATTTATGGTTTTAGTTATTTAGAATAAGGTTTTATATCGTTGCGAGAATAGAGAAGACGAAGATGCTCTGATGCGCGATGATTGGAAGTGCGATGACGATGCTTCTCGCGCAGTGGTGGGACGAACTCAACGGAGGTCGAGCCATGACAGCGGTGCGACGCACCACCACACGATTTCAGCTTTGGAGCTATCATGGCCAGCGCGGATCGAAGAAAGGGGTGTTGCGATGAAGATGATGATTCAGATTGACGGTGAAGACGCGAGGGACACAACAATTCACGGCGGTGCGGTGTGGCTGAGGAAGTGGAGACAAGGTCGCGATTGTGTTGCAGTGGTGCGATTTACATCAGTGCCAAGGTTTCTTGATTTGGGGATAATGGTTTATGTCTTTGGATGCAGGCTAATGATGTGAGGATGAGACGAGAATGACTAACGGTTGATGATGGTGCATTCGAAGAAGAGATTCGAAGAGGCCTGAGTTGATACCTAGCTTGATGGAGGATGTGGAATCATGGAGGATGGATTCAGATCTACATGGTGTTGTAGAAGCTGACAATAATAGAATAAATCGGAGAGCGGTGAGTTGATGGGAACTAATCCAGATCGTCTACGGTGGGAAAGATGGGAACTTTTTTCACAAGGATTAGTTTAGATTTGGCGTCCAGTTTTATGGTTTTAGTTATTTAGATTTCGATGAGAGTGGTGAGTTGATGCCTACCAAGAGGTTGTCGTGGACGGCGACGATGCTGACGCATTCCTGGCCACGGTGCTGTTGGAGGGCGAGGGGGCAGAGACGAGAAGCTTCTGGTTCGCCGCAGATGACGAAGTTAGATTCAACTTGAAAAATGAAACAATCAACGTGGCACGACAGCTGGTATATGACGTGGCATCGCCGTTTGCCACATCTACTAAAACTTAACGCCGTCCATTTTTAAGGACTAATACTAATAGTTTCAAAAGTACGAGGATTAAAAACCATCAAAGTTTCAAGTAGGGACTAAAACCAAAATCGTGTGATACTTAAGGGACGAAAAACATATTTAACCCATTAAAATATTATTTTTTATTTAAATAAGGGTATGTAAACATGATAGTTAGGTTGATAAAAAGTGGAATGGAACATAGTAAAAAGTAGGTGCAAAGCGCTTTATTTGAAAAGTAATCATTTTATGCTATAAACATTGACAAAGAAGCTGCATTGCACATAAAAATAAAAAAGAAAAAAAAAAGTTAATACTATTTCTGTCTTATTTAACGGAAGGAACTTAATTAAAGCAAATTTTATCACTTTTGAACGAACTTAACACATTACAGCCAAATTAGGGACAAACTAAACAATTAAACCTTAGTTGTATTTATACACATTAACAACCACAAATTCATTTTTTTTATTATTTTAATATATAGATACTGTTCACTATATTTAAGTACAGATAGCACAATTTTGATTTTTGATTAGACAGCTGAAGCTGAAGTCTGACATTCGTTGTAGCATCCTGGCACCAATTTTTTTTTTTGTTTCTTTATTTTATTTTTGAATTATTAAAAAGTAGGAGATGGAAAAAAAAATTAAGAAATGATAAAATGAGGATATTTAGTAATATTTGTTATTGTTGTAATTTTTTAAGATAATAAATTTAAAAAATATACAAGTATATGGTGAAATAATTTAAATTAATTATTATTTTGTTGATGAAAATTAAAAAAGTAGAATTGATAATCAGTGCATTGTAGTTAAAATGGAAGTTCTTATTGTTTATTCTTTTCTTTTTTCTTCGATGGATACTATTAGTCTTTCACTTTGGGTAATATGTTGTATTTCTTTGAGATCTTGAACCAATGTATTGGTATAACTAAATGTAATGATATGACTGAATTCTTTTGATTTACCAACCTAGAGCTAGTCAAGCTTTGTAATTTTTATGTTATTGTTTAATCTTTGTTCTTAATTTATTACACAGTTTTCAAATACTGCTTTTAGTCTTTCTTAAAAGTCAATTTAGTCATCTATACTTCTTTTGTGAGAAAAAGAGCAATGCTCCCTTCATATTACTTATTTTTTCTTGCACTTCCCATTTTACATATTTATCCTTTATTTATTAAATTCAAATAAAAATTAACGATGAGTTAATGATTTCGTAACCATCAACAACTTTCCTAACCACCAATAAGTCTAAACGTTCATTGATTGTATAAATCCTAAATCTCATCTATTGCCCTACATGCATCCTCTTTTCTCTTCTTATTTTTTGACTTTCATTCTTCACTTCTTCACTTGTATTATTAAATTGTTTTCTAAGTTCAAAGTTGTAAGGTTATACACTAGTGGTTATGCCCATGCTGGTGGTGTTGTGGACAATACAGGAGGAAGAAGGTAGTGTTGGTGGTGTTGTGGACAGTGAAGGAGGAAGAAAGAAGCGAGAGTTCACGATGTTAGTATATTATCTGAAGTAAACACCTTAACCGCCGTTAGAGATGCGATTAAGGGTGGCAAAGTTCGAACGCCGGTTGCAAAGCGTCGAAATTCAAATTTCGGTTCACCCTAACTGCACTTTGAACAGTAGGGTATCGCACTTCCAAGTGCAGTTTCACTGTGCATACTTTTTTTGTTTTTAACCCAGGCTGCTTATGATCATTTGATGTTTATTTGCATTGCATTCTGAATCATATCTCCTTTTTGTTGTTCATTTATTGTGATATTATGGCTTATGCTTGCTTATGATTATTTGATGTTTATTTGCACATTGCATTCTTAATCATGTCTATTTTTGTTGTTCGTTTATTGTCATATTATGGCTTATAGTATGTTTGAGTATGTTTGGCATCTAATTTGATTTACATCATGCGAATGCTAGATTCACAATAAGTTGAGAGTAATAAGTTTCAAAAGAAACCCAAGCGTAACTATTCTCTTACCATATTTTTATCTGCTTTATATCCAAGACTCCTTTACTTAATGTCTATTAATTTTGAGTGTTGTCATACCTATTCATATGGCTTTAATCTTTAGATGACATGCTATAGTCATGTTAGATTAGATATTACAAATACATTTTCACAGGATTACTCATCTTGATTATATTTGTTATTCGTAAATTTGAAGCAATTAAGCAAGAGAGTGTTCAACTATTTTTCTTGAAGTAGTATTAGAAACAAAAATTCATTTACTTGTTAGAATTTTAATATATTAAAGTTATTTTAAACTATATTAATATTAAACTATATGTTAACTCGTATAATTTGATTTTGTTATACGTGTTAGTGAATTATTATTTCATTTAATTTTTATTATTTAGTATTTTATTTATAAAATTTTATGTTATATTGTATTGTATTTATTTTTGATGTATTAGTTAATAATTTAAGTGTTTTTTTACGTAATAGTTAATATTTTGTTATGAAATTTTTTTATTTGTTATTAATTTTTCAATGTTTTATACGTATTAATGATTTGAATGATGTGAAGTTATATTTATTTTAGAATAAGTTTAATTTTTTTATTTAGTATTTAGTTTAGAATATTTTTTGTTATTTTTTATTTATTGTATACATTTTTTTATGTGTTAATTTTTTAAATTTTGATTGAATTTATAAGATGTTTATATTTGGTGATTTTCATTTAAATTTTAAAAGTTTTCCTTAATTTTGTAATTGTTATTTGTTAAATTTTAATATTGTTATGTTTATTATAGGTCCTATTTAATTATATAAGATGGATAACTATTCATTTCTTGATTCTCAAATAAATTTTGATTTTATGTCAGAATATTCTTCTTTTCTAAATGAAGTCAGTGAGGGTGATTACACAGATAAATTTTTCACTGATCAAATCTTCCCATCACGCACCGATTTAATTGAATAGGTTCGAAAGATTGCATTCGACCTTGGATTTGTTTTCGTGATTATAAGATATGACACAACAACTGATGAAGCTGGAAGAAAGACATTCATTGTGTTAGGCTGTGAAAGGAGTGGGAAGTATAGGAAGTATAATCCAGATGTTCAACCTAGTGTATCTGGCACAAGAAAATGTGAGTGTCTATTTAGGTTGAGGGGTAAACCTAAAGGACAAGATTGGGTGTTAAAGGTTATGTGCGGCTATCACAACCATGAATTAGCATATACTTTGGTTGGTCATCCTTTCGCGGGGAGGTTAAATGTTGTTGAACAGCCAATTCTTGTTGACATTACTAAGAGTCAAGTTAAGCCCTCAAATATTTAACTCTTAAAGAACATAATGAAGATAAGGTGACGACGATAAAGCAAATATATAATG